AAAGAAAGTATCATAAAGATTATTAAAATATTGGCATAAACTTCAAAATACCATATTAAAAGGTTTCAAACGAAAAATCTTTAAAAAAGAAATACTGTTCTGATTTAAAAATTTTGCATAAAAATTAAATATACCAACAATAATATATTCGTTTTATACAATTATTCATACGCACTGATTTACGTATAAAAATACTACCATATTTTTTTTGATCTTTAATTATTAGATCAAATAAAATATACAGCATATACAGTATATCATATTTAAATATATCTGGATATACTGTTGTGAATACTTGAAAATATTAAAAATAAAAAATTTAATTGCTTGAATTATTCTTCAATTTATTTAATTATATATAATTTTTGTTGTTAAGCTTTGTTATTGATAGCAATTATCAATCAAATCATATACCGAATATTGATGGAAACAATCCGAACTAGAGATATTTAGTTAATAAGGGTTATACAAGTATTAAATAAATGTTAATTGAAAATTTAATTTCGTTGAATGAAAATAATTACCCGTTTCTTTAATATATACCCAGTGTATATATCTATATACGTATACATACAATTTATAAAGTTTCAAAATCTCTAAAAAATCCCAGTATAAAGAATGTATTGTGTTATGGTTGTTATTTGATTAGGGGAACGTGGTGGCGGCCTCTTTAACTTGTAGTAGTAGTCTAATGGTAGTCTTTGGACTACATTCATTCCTCAGGATGTTATATTAATTTTCATGTACAGTATGTACAGTTATAGGGCGTGCGGGAAGTAGGTTGCGAGGTGAGTCGGGAGCAACTTTCAAATATACTGTATTTAATTTTTAAAGAAAATAATAAAATTATTGTTCAACGAAATACCAACAATCCCACATTATTGGAAACAGACCGCGGCCACACTCTTACCAAAAAAACTCATATGAACTTACCATCTCGCCGAATTGGCAGAAGACTATTCACTAAATTCAAAACATTATTTTGTTATCTTCATTTGATGTTTTCTAAATCATAGTTTCGCTTTTTGGTATTCTCTATTTCTAATGTTTTTATATTTTCATTTTGATGTTTTGTTATTTTAGTTTTGATATTATTATTAGTTTAATCCATAAAGATAATGGTAGAATATCAACCATATTTTTAAATGTTAAGTGAATTAGAAGTTATTGATGTGTACTGTATATATGGTTTTTTTTTTATTTGAAAAAGATAATTAAATCATTAACTGCTTTTCTCATGTCAACTTTTTTCTTTGATTTGGTAATCTTGTTTTGTATGCCTTGCAAACTTTATATTTCTAAGATTTCAAATCCCTTAGCCCAAACATGTACATAAATAGTTACCCATAAAGTTTTTAAAGAATATACAGTACATCACCTATCAAGATTTTGCATAGGCGCGTAATATATTGCAAGTATGAATGTTGATACGCGATATTCTAAATATTAATATTTAGTCTTCTCTTTAACTTGGAATTGAAAATCTCTTTACACCAGAAACGCAATGAGAAACGATTTGTTGCAATGGAAAATATAATTCCAAAATCCACAATTCTCTTCAATATGTCTTTTGGGAACATTCAGGTATCATGTTTTATTGCTTTTTCTACCATAAGAATTCGAATAATTTTAGTTTGAGTTTAATGTTTCGCATAAAGAAGAAAAAAAGGCTTCATTCTAAAGAATATATATATTGCTGGAGTTTAGTGTTGGATCAGAATCAGGCATTTCAATCTTTGGGAGTAGGAAATCAAGGTGTTTTTATACAGAACGAAATATCATTGCGTAACCAAAATTTCCCATTACGGAAACAATTACCTGCCTTGTGATTAACATTCAACGCACCTTTTTTTTTATAAAGGCTGGATTCAAAAGGCACGAGCTTGTGCGAATGGAATGCGGTTCATCGCCATCTTAGAGGTTAACGTCCGATTTGGAATGATTTATATAAATGAATATATCATGTATGTGGCATCGGAAAATCATGGAGTTATTGTAATATTTAGAAACAAGACATGCCAATTTTAAGAGAAATATACGCTTTCTTGTATATCAAATGAAGTTGTAACCAGTACAATGACCATAACAACCGAATAAGCATTCATCGATATATGATATTAATGAAATTGAAAAATTTTCTTTAATAATAATAATAAAAAAAAAAAACTTAAAATCAGCTTTTTTGTGATATTATAGGTTGCGTAACAGTAATAAAAAATTCTTTTATTTCATTGGGAACTCTAAATTGTTAGTGTATGCTTGCACAGTAGGTTTATAAAATATTAACACCCAAGGGGTTTTTCTAGTGCGCATTTCGGTACGTTAAAACAAATTATTATCATTATGTTGAACAATGACTTAATACGGACTTAAGGAATTGCCAAGGACATCGTATCTTTAATAACAATTCGATAAAACCAATTACGCATATACAATATCTTTTTCATCCTCTGAAATAGTCGAGAGTTACGAATTATTTGCATACGGCATATAATGCTGTTGACATTTGCGCAAAAAAAATAAAAAAAATGAATTTGTACATTACTAAGGCATTTTATTGAGTTATTACAACATGCCTTTTTTTATTGTATGCAATAGCATTGTGAAAGATGTGTGGTTGGTTGCATTTCTTACATAATATCGTGTTCAATTTAATGTTGCAAAAGAGAGTTCAAGTGATTGTTCTTCGGGAGCATTACTCTCTTAATTTACTGTATGTCGTCGCAGAATGCATAACGCATTCTTTAACTTCCCAATTTTTTTCGACCACATAGACATTATTCGTCATTGAGCACCCTTTCTCTTCAACATTTTTGTAGAATTAACGGTGCTTATTTCGGAAACTTGAACCCCAACGAGATTACTTTTTCTGATGATTGTATCAATGGCAAAATCGAAGTATAAAAATTACTTTAAATATTTTTGGCGTTCAAATTACCGTTTTTATTACAATTTCGTAATCGAGGTGAGACTAGAATTACAAAATAGAATTTTCTATGAACAATTAGGCATGACAAGACTATACAGTGCTTTAGAAAATCCAAAAGATTCCAGCCAAATAAGTAATTGATGTGCGTGATGATCAAGTCATCGTCTCTAGTAAAAAAATTTTTCGACTAAAATTAATCATTTGATCTGGTTGCAATCATGCGACTGTTGAATGATTTGATTCATCAGACCGATTACTGGTTTCCGTTTTTTTTTTTTTTTCAAAAAAAAATCGTTGAACCGAAAATGGAAAGGGTTGCTCATCTTATAAAAACATTCTCATATGATATTAATACGGTATATTAAGAGATACCGTAATTCTCCAGGTCTTTCGTGGTGATATTTAAATGGAGTCATAAGGTAATATGGATGTCATATGTTATAGACTGTGGAGCGATACGGTATTCCAGGGGCTCGTTTCTCATACCATAAAATTGCACCTGCATAATTATTTACAACTTATTATTTGTCTTACTTTTTTTAAATTTAATGTCCGAGTGGTGAGAAATAATCCTAGGTGATAAAAATTTAATCACGTGATAATTCCAACAATGCGTATCCTGAACAGACACGTGTGCGTATTTATATTTTGACAAAAATGTTAAACAGACAGACAGGCAAATTCGTGTCTACGTGCACAATTTGTACAATACGTTAATTAATAATTATGCCAATTTACACGTAACCAAAATCACTCGGTGAAAAATGACAATAGTAAATAATAATAACAACAATAATATAATAATACTAAATAAATAAATAAATACTGTAAATAAGAACGTTACAAAGTGAAAATAACACGAAAAAGAACGTGTAGACATCTTTTGTCTGTAATATTCGCTCAAACCGATGGAGGCAATTTTTCTTTTCAAGGGTAACGATTTTATGTCCAGAGACGAGCTTTGCAAGAAGAACGTACACTTTTCTGATAATGATAATTATAATAAATTCCACATTAAAAACTTGAATCAAAAAAAATTTGCGCGTGTTTATACAACGCCATTAAAGTTTATTTATCTCAAAAATTTCATGTTAATTTTTTTTTTTTTAATAACAATATAAAATAAATTTTTTCTTAATACGATAGCGTGGTTTCAGCGAACAAAACTTGCCCCCAAAATCACGCGAACTAGCATGACGGATAGAATATAATACGTAAACATGTGTCTGTTACCCTTTTCGAAACAATACATAGAGATCGTTTGATTCGTTATTGGTGATAAACCACACTTTGAAGTCACATTATAGTAACGTATTTGATTATGCGAATACGACTTTGAGCATATTCCAGGGCATCTCTTTTGAAAGATAACCCGAAAACTTAATCTACTGTCAAATCGGGTATTATTGGCACAGTGACATATGAACCTTCCCCCAAAAAGGACACCGTCCGAATGTAATATGCCTACTCTAAAAGGCATTAAGATTTTACACAATAACAGTCACTGTAGTGTAAAACTCTGTGAATAGTAACTGGTAATGATTAACATTCCTCGTCGGGGACCGAACGGAGGTCGTCCGCAGGGGTTAACAGGAAGAAATCTTGGTTACACATTTAGTCTGAAACCTGGTGGATTTTTTTTTTCCAATGGCCAGGCTGAATATACAGTGTAATGTATAGTTGCATACTGTATATAATGTGCCACACATAAAACAATCTTCTTGACTTAGCTTAACTTATTAGGTTTTGTGTCACGTCAAACATCAGGAACCTCTATAAATTCCGTAATTATTCAAACCTAACAACAAAAAAAAAAGAATTTTTTTTTTTGCTTTCTCCTTAGCGCACTTTTTTTTCTCCGTTAAAATTTTTTGTCGAACATAATAAACACGTCACCGCACTGCTCGAAATATTTAGATATCCATCAAAAGTTACACGGACAAAATATCGTTTTTTTTAAAAAATAAAAAGTATGATATACATTATGTGCGATAATTACTTTGTTTTGATCTTTCAAGTTAGATAACTGTTCATTTTTTCTCGTGTCATTTGATCAGCCAAAGCTGTAGGTATGGTTCACAAAGATTTTTGGGAAGCCGAACGTATTCTGGATGAAAAGAAGGAAAACGGTGAATCACTTGTTTTAATCAAATGGTTGGGCGTGGACTCGAATGGTAATCCTTGGCAACCAACTTGGGTGGGTGTAGTTTTCACGTCTACTTTCCCATTTTTTAATCATCAAAAGTGATATTGACCATGGATCGTGATCTTTGACAGGAACCCGAAAAAAATTGTACTGAAGCCCTAATTAGGGAATGGAATTTGACGAAGGGCGAACGAAAAGTTAATAATAAAACTCGATCTTTCGGACGAAGGTTATCGGTCTCTTCATGCAACATATTATCCGAAAGCGGAGTTGTCGGAGATAGCGGAGATGTCGCAGAGGATCATTATTCTAGCGAGACATCCACCATCATGGGTGATGATGAAGAGGATGAGTCGCAAAACGGCGCCGAAGAGATTCCGAAAGAAAATTCGAACATCACGGCTTCCAGCATTTTTTCTGCCGTTGCTGGTCTTATCGGAATTCCGACCTCGCAAAAGCGACCTCAAAGTGAATCTAGAATTGAACATGTTAATGATGCCAAAAAGATTTGCACAAGAGAGCCGGTCGACAGCGGAGACAGTAAGGACGTCCCTGAAAGTGTCGGGGCTCATGTTTTTCAACAATCTCCACACACCGAAACCCCGACTGAAGTACATTCTTTTTCAAGATCCAACGATAGAGTAATCTCGGATAAACAGTGTGTGAATACAACGAGGCTCTCACGCAATAATGGTGACGGTGTTAATTCAAATGAAAATCAGGTAAGCTCAAAACTAATTTAGAATAGGTGTTTGTTTATTTTTTTCTTAGAAGACTTATTAATTTGTCACGTTTCTTTTTTCTTTTATAGGATGTGCAAAGTTTCATTAATGAGATTAAAGGCAAAAATAATTATATCGCTTGTTTGGTACAAGAAAAGGAGCATCTCCAAAGGAAATTAAAGCAGTACGAGAAAAACCGGAAATATCACCAATCAAAAAATCAAGCTTTAGCACAAGAGAACATTCAAGCTCACAAGCTATTTCAGGAAAAGCAGAAGGAGCTCACGAGGGCCTATGCACAGTTGAGTCATATTCTCGAGGAATTCGAAAGGATTAAGGTACTATGTAATAAGAAAGATGCGAAGATGAAAGCCATGGAAATTGAACTAGAAGAGCATAGGAGACAATTTGATGGCAAACGCAAGAAAGATCAAAGACAAATTGCCCTTCTTAAGAAGACCAACAGCAATCTGACCATGGAAAATGAAAAGTTACTTCGGAAAACAGAAAGCCCGAAAGTCTCCAATAGTCCGATCTCCGACCATGCACAACTTGGACAGAAAACTAGATCTTCTGGTAACATCCAAGTTCTGCGTGCCGAAAACGAAAAGTTGACATCAAAAATTAGCAGTCTAAATCTCCAGAATACTGTTCAACAGCAGGAATTAACTGTGTTGAAAGAAAAGATGATGGAACAAGAATCAATCATTCAATTGCTAATGGGCATTCAAAAGATCAACTATCAGGGAGATCTAAAAGCGGAGGACCTTAAAAAATCTTTTGTCAAGTCTATTAACTCGCACCTACAAAACACATCAGCACCACCCGTCTATGCGCGTTCTCCGGTACCACTACCACAAATAGAATTCATCCCGTGGAATGGCATGCCACTAAAGAACTGAATGGGTTTTCTTATTTCTTTTCCTCATGTAAACGTGGAAACCGTATATACATATATTCTAAAGATTTCTTTGTTAAATCATTTTTGCATCGGCATTTAAAAAAAACAACAAAAAACATCTGCATATAAATATAACGGGGAACTTCTTTTTTTCATTTGAAAAAAAACATTTCAATTTGCATATTATACTGTATGTAGGAAAATTCAACTAATTTTGGAAAGTTTTGCGAATTTTTGGAAAAAAAAAATATAGATTTAATTTTTCTCAGATAAATGAGTCTGGAGTGAATTTAGAATCTGAACATTTTAAGTCAAATAGTTTTGCATAATAGCATGTCATATGATAAACTTCAAGAAACTAATTTTTCTAGAAAAGCGATTCACCAAAAGCAACAACTAGAGAATTAGAACAAGTTTTTTATAGATAAAAAAAAAAAAAAAAAAAGTTAAGAAATATCCTTATAACGTTTACGTATATGTATATACATTATCAAGTAATTCTAATTTAATCGAGAGTCTATCCGTAAAGTACAGGTAAGCCGTTTGTTTTTTTGAAATTTACTTCAAGAATAGTAACACGAGTAGCAGATAGATGTCAACTTCAAATTCTATAAATTTTATTAATGTTCGAATAGAAACTTTGAAAAAATAAATAACAAATAAATAAAGTGAATAAATAAAACGACGTTAGAGCCTGAAAACTGACTTGATGAAACTATGTACTAAAATTCGTGTACTATCCAACTATCCACCAAAGTCTTTATCAAAAGAGCATCGTTATCAAAGTAAAAAAAAACCTATTATTAAGCATAGGAAAATTAGCGTTATCGACTTTACGAACATCTGCTGCATACATAGCGTAGCATGCCCCCAAATCCTAGACGATCCTAAATTCCCTATAAATTATCCGCGAAGATTTCAAAAGTTCCATGTCGCAATACCCCCCAAAATTGATCGTCGTCGTGATTATTTTGTGTGCACACTACATATGCCTATTTATATTAATCAAGTAAATAAATAAATAATGGGTAATTTAATTATCATGTTCAGACTCAGGATTGTTACACTTTTTTGCAGATAAAGGTGTACTATTTAAGGATTGCTATTCAGTTGTGATTTGGACTATATAAGGCGCATATTCTATATACACTTGTTGTGTCATAGCACATAATGTCGATCATTCCAAGTTTCTCCGAACTTCCGGACTTTTAAACGAGTTTCCGACACGCCGAACGGCCCAAACATGAAGGTCTCTATCCGAGCAGGCAGGTTGGAATTGCGCGAAATCTGCCCCCACCTTTATTTTTTTTTCGTATAAAAAAAAAACAAAAAAAAAAAAACAATAATTATAATAATGAATAATTGAATTTCGAATGTAGTGTAAATTTTTATATGATTTTTTAAATAAAATGCTTATTCGGCGTTTTTTATATTTGATCAATAATAAACAATAAATCAAATAATAAGACAGTTTATTGGACGCTGCTAAATTGCGGGTGGTACATCAATAATTGTTACGTTATGTGCGCACTTGCGTACGTAATGATAATAAGTCGGCTCATCACATCCCGAATTCCCGTGGATACATACGCATATGGATGCTATTTCATCGAGACAAGAAAAAAGCGTGTTGCCAAGAGCATTCCTGATAGCTAACAAGACAAATTATCTCAAGATTCTTCTTATGATGTAAATCTTAAGGCACAGGGCTTACTATTTATATACTTTAAATGAAATTTATTTCCTGATAGACAAAATTCATAATAGGTGGCTTTATAAAAAATTCAACCCTTAATCAGCATAGGCGATGTATACAAAATAAGGCGTACAGCATGTTTACATCTTTTACAATTCGTATTGTTGATCTTAGTGCAGTATATGACCGAATTTGGATAGATACCAGTGATTTGCATCAGGAGTGCAAATTCGGAACAACATGAAAAAAAGTCCGGGAATGTTCTTATATATGAACCCGCTTTCTCCCCTTGGGCGAGTTCAATATTTCCACATACGTCATAATTACAACACACACGACCTATTGCCGCAGCATAATTTACTGCGAAAAATCACAACACTAACTCTGCGATGAACCTTGCGCCTGCATAATGCAGAATCAGCGGTGAATGGCGACTAAACTGTATTTTGAATGAAACAGAATCGTATGCAGCGCTATTAGATATTATTCTTTAGTGTATTTAGAATGAGAATAGATTACAGATTATGTGAATTCTAGTTATGTGATCCGAAAGAATGTGACAACTATTTTCCAACATCAATTTGTTTGGTCAAATAAAAATTTCGAAATAGTTAAAGGGAATGATTATTATCCTTTCATCTTTAATTCAAGATAAAAATAACTTTGCATCATAACCCGCATATTTTTCATGTAGGTGAGAAATTTCTACAAATATTCATTCTATTCCCGTTTAAAGATATCTTTGATTTGAAAAAAAAAACGAATCACTTTAAGACCCACATTGACCCTATTGATTTAAATACTAAAGCATCATTATCTCTTAAATAACTTATTGAATCAGTGTGAGAAAATCATTCTGTCAGTCACCAGAAAAATCTGGGAAGGTCATGTCTGTCGCCTTACTGAATGTGGAAGCATGGGAATTATTGAAGGGCAGACGTGAATTACAATGTAAGAAAGGTAAAGAAAGGATGGAGTTGTGGGTGCATTATATGGATTTTTTGTGCAAGTGGAAAATTGTAATCATGTAAAAATTACAGCAAAACGAGAACGTGAAAATATATATATATATACTAGGGAGAATATTACTATATTATTTAAATCGCAAAGAAATTTGAAATTCTTAATATATAAAAAGTTTAATATATTCGCATATGGTCGGAAAATTTTACTGTTCGTTATTCTTACATTAAGCCAAATATTATTGATTGATGATATTAATTTTAGTTTGCTTTATTTTAGATATGACGAATGCGTATCTTTGTCGGAAGACAATTTTTTGAACAAATTATGGCAACTGCGGGTCCTGATACAGCATTACTGTTCTAACTAGCGTTTCTGGATAGATGATGTTTTTAATTTGGAATTTGAAGCATGACGACTTCCAATTAAATATTCAACATTCTTCACAGAATAATACCATTTATCTAAGACGAATGAATGTTAGGAGATGCAGAACCCTAAGTGGAATATTTCAGATTAATGAATTCAAATTAATTAAAACACAATTCCCGGCTAATTAGCAAGAGCGATGTTTTTCAGAAAATCGGGAAAATGAATTTTCTGGTTAATAGTGAATATCTAATAATAGATACAAGGCGAGTCTTACACTGGACTTTGCGTGACTTTTCAAATATTCTCATAGATACCAATACAAACGGCGTGATATTAGATTAATTCAAGAAATCGGTAGACATGAAAACTTCCCTGGACTTACTACTATACTGGATGTAATTAGCTGTTCCGTATACGACTATCAGGGATGTAAACCTACCCTTCGTTTAACCATTATAGAGTATGAAATTATGTAGGGAGAAATCTAGACTAAAGTATTATAGAATGGGTGTGCCTTAAAGTAATACTCGTCGGTGTAATTAAGATCTGGAACAAGAAATTTCAATGATGTCGCTATTTAAAATTTATATAATACAGTGCCCCGGCAAAGTTTTTCCACGCCTCTTACACCCGCATGGAAGCACAATAGGTAAAGAAAATATATTTATATTAAAATATTCATTACCCTCGGCTTTAATTAGGGTCTCCACACGAATTTTCATGCTTATAACTAAATCAGTTGCGTATTACTATGCAGCCCATGATCTATTGAAAATACAAATACAGAAAAACCTTTGTCGGGACCGCAACTACATAAAAGCTACACATAATATCAGGTAAGAACTGAATTGATTGGATTTATATAAATACATAATTTTAATGTTTCCTGCATTGTGAGAAAGGACATGCAAATGCCTCGCCTATATATTTGTGTTTTTATTTATTATTGTTTTATTATTGTTATTATTATTGTTATTTTTCTGCCACAAACATGAACTTTTCGTAAAAAAATTATTAAAATTCCAAGACTACTATGCACAAATAATAATAACAAACAATAGAATTATTTATCGATTCTCTTATCTAAGCCTCCTTGCTATACTCGGTGCCAATCCATCAGTTTAATTCGGAAACCAGAAAAATATGAAACATTCAATAACATTTTACGGTAAAGTGGTTCAAAGATTATCTCAACCGAATCATTAATTAAAACTTGTCGATAATTCCATACCAATCTTAACCAGACTATGTCAACAGACATGTTACTTTAAACTTCCTAAACATAAAAAGGACGCGATTATATATGCATTAATGTGCGCAATCTTTAAATCAGGTAAAGTTCGTGCTATACTTTGGTACAACTTTTTATGACGCTTAGTCCATTTAGCTATTTCAAAATGCATACAACCAACCCTATGACAAATAATACTGAAATTTTTTTTCTTTGATTCATCTAATCAAGAGAGTCTTTTAATATATTTATGTATACACTTACAGTAATTTGTGATTTTATAAAATATTATTATCTCTCAATTATGTTCTAAACAACTTAATAATGAAACCCATCTTCTAACAATAGGTGATTATTTAAAAAATTACACAAATAATCTGATATTAAATTAATAATTAACACAGATTTTATTACGCTTTTAGCGCAGATACTATGTCAATTTTATTTTGAGACGATGTCTTGCTACTATGACTTCCCAAAATAACAAATTTCTCAAGCCTATTGCATTTCAAAATCTAAAACATTATAGATTATTCTGTAGTGTGAAAATACTTATCGTCATGGTCTAAATGTAGCCCAAGAAAACTTTATACAAAATACGAACTAGTATAAATTTTTTACCATTAAGCCTACTGAGGGATTAGTGATACAGCACAAACTTTTAACTTATTCTTTAGAAAAATAGTCACTATTCTTTATTCTTTAAAATATTTGCAATTTCATTTATTTTATTACTTGT